TGTCCCAGACCCTCCAAGTCTCCTGACTCTACTTCTCTTGGAATCTTGTCTCTACCTGTAGCCTAAGATCTTTTTGATTGTTGAGGCATACTTGATATATAGCATTGTATTTGCTTCAGGTGTGCACATAATGATTCAATAATTGTATACACTGCAAACCGATCACCGTAGTAAGTCTAGTTACCATCTATCACCACGCATAGCTACAAATGTTTTTTCTCATGATGAGAAGTTTTAAGATCTACTCTCTTAGCAACTTTCAAATCTGCGTTGCGGTATTATTATTTTTAAAAATATTTTTATTTATGTATTTGAGAGAGAGAGATCACAAGTAGGCAGAGAGGCAGGCAGAGAGGAAGGGAAGCAGGCTCCCTGCTGAGCAGAGAGCCTGATGTGGGGCTCGATTCCGGGACCCTGAGATCATGACCTGAGCCGAAGGCAGAGACTTAACCCACTGAGTCACCCAGGCGCCCCTGCATTGCGGTATTATTAACTATAGTCACGATGTGTACATTACGTTCCAGGACTTTCTAATTTTATAACTAGAAGTTTGAACTTTTTGACCCTCTTCACCCATTTCTCCCACCTTCCATCTCCCATTTCTGGCAACCATTGGTTTATTCTCTGTGCCTAGGAGCTTGATTTGTTGTTATTTAAATTCCACATATAAGTGAGATCTGACAGTATCTGTTTTTCTCTGACTTATTTCACTGAGGAGAAGACCCTCAGGTTCTATTCAGTTTGTTGCAAATGGCTAAATTCCATTCTTTTTATGAGTGAATGGTATTCCATTATGTGTGTATATGTGTGTATGATTGGATTTGTATTGTACTGTACATGTACATTATACATATTTAAATTTTTTAAAGATTTTATTTATTTATTAGAGAGATGGAGAGAGACCACAAGCAGGCAGAGCAGCAGGCAGAGGGAGAGGGAGAAGCAGGCTCTCCGCTGAGCAGGGAGCCCGATGTGGGGCTTGATCCCAGGACCCTGTGATCATGACCTGAGCTGAGGGCAGCCGCTTAACCGACTGAGCCACCCAGGCGCCCCACATTATACATATTTGATATTGTATTTTGTATATATGGAATTAAAATTGGATTTGATATTGTATTTTGTTTTTCCACACAATTACCATTCCTGAGGTGCATAGACTTTTTGAGTTAGTGTTTTCATTTTGTTTGGGTAAATACTCAGGAGTGGGATTACTTCATCATGTAGTATTTCTACTTTTAACTTTTCGAGGCACCTCCATGCTGTGTTCCAGACTCCCGCCATCGGTGCACAAGGGCTCCCTTTCCTCCGCATCCCGCCAACACTTGTTAGTGCTTGTCTCTTTGGTAGCAGCCAATCTGCCTGGTGCGAGGGGATAGCTCATTGTGGTTTTGATTTGCATTTCCTGTACGATTAGTAATGTTGAGCATCTTTTCAAGTGCCTGCTGGCCATATCTGTATTCTTCTTTGGAAGAATGTCTGTTCAGCTCCTCTGTCCATTTTTTTAATCAGATCGTTTGCTCTTTTGGCTACTGAACTGTAGGAGTTCTTTCTCTGTTTTGGTAATTAACCCCGTATCAGATAGATGATTTGCAAACACTTTCTCCCCTTCAGTAGGTTGCCTTTTCATGTTGCTGATGATTTCCTTTGCTGTGCAGAAGGGTTTTAGTCCAGGATGATCTTTTGAAAATGCAAACTCGATGTGGCAGGTCACTGCCAAGTCAACAAGGTATTCTCAGTGTTGCAGGACTCAGTGCCAGACTGCTCCCCTCAAATGCTTGCAACGTGATCTAGCAGCTGCCTCCCTCTCGGCTCTCCCCGAGGTTAGTCGGGCCAGGCCGGCCTCGTTTCAGCTCCTTGCTTCTTTCCTTGGCTGCTCTATGGATGGTCCTCTTCTGTCTGGAAAGCGCGCTCTCTCTATCCCAGAACCACCCACCTGCTACCCCTCCATCTTTCAACCTTCAGGCCACGTGTCAACTTCTCAAGAAAATCTTTGCTGCTGCCCCAGGTGCTGTCCTACCACCTGTTCACTTTGTTTGCCCCCACAGGGTGTAAATTCTCTGAGGGCAAGGACTTGACTTGTTCCCTGCTCTATACCCAGAGTTCAGACATGTGTTGAGTGAATTAATCATACTCGACACTCTTGGTTACTTTACATCTATATTGTGATGGGGCCCGGATCTGTCCCACTTACAAGATGGTGAGTCCCACAGGATGGGAGCCTCGTCTCCTCTGTTCATCGTTGTTTCCCTGCATGGCCCCTAGGAGGCCTTCTACAATTGTATAGTGAATAAGTTTTATCACGACCATGTGAAAAATCACCACCAAATCATTAACAGGGATTGTGTTAGGACTGTGAAAACATCACTGATTTTTTTCCTCTATCTACAAGAAAAATTATAATGGGAAAAAAACACCAACAATACAAAAATTCACAAACAAAAAGAAAAAATAGGATCATATATTGTATATACTGAATCAACATAATTAAAAGGCTAGAAATAGAAATGATACCTATAATTATTCTGCCTTAAGAGATCAGGTGTCCTGATTTTTCCCCCAATGTGTGCAGCATTGTACATAGCTTCGGATAGATAAAATCTGCATTTTGTTTTTCCTGCTTCGTGCTATGGGACATTCCCAGGAGGCTGCATTGCCTGCATATTATTTTTAGAAACTAATTAGTGTACAGGTAGGAGGGCTGTTTCACCAAGATATACTTCCTGAAGTAGAATTCAGACCGCAGGAATATTCCCATAGGGCTATGGATCTCTGACTTCATTGGCTGGAAGTGGAGGAAGAAACAGGCTGTGATGGATGGATGTGAGCCCAAGCCTGGAATGAGCACTTGAGGTCAAATGGAGTGAAGTGTGATGGTTTTCAAGCCAAGTCAATGTTTCATTGAGCCTCTAGTAAAACTGAATAAATACATTTATGTTGTTTGGAGAATTCCTAAGTTAGGTGGCTTGACTGTGCTCTGAGATGAGGTGGATACGTTGACAAGTGGTAGTGGGGCGGGCGGTGCTGAGTGTCAGTCTTGAACAATTGTGGGATTGTGGGGGACTTTGAGAACATAGAATGGGGAACAAATATGGGACATTAGTAAATGAGGTGTTGACAAGTTGTCAACTGTACTGATTAGAAAGAGTTAGTTGGGGGCACCTGGGTAGCTCAGTGGGTTAAGCCTCTGCCTTCGGCTCAGGTCATGATCTCAGAGTCCTGGGATCGAGCCCCGCATCGGGCTCTCTGCTCAGCGGGGAGCCTGCTTCCCCTGCCCTTGCCTGCCTCTCTGCCTACCTGTGCTCTCTCTCTCTCTCTGTCAAATAAATAAATAAAATCTTAAAAAAAAAAAAAAAGAAAGAAAGAAAGAAACAGTTACATGTGGTCCCTTGGTTGGTTAGTCAGGGAAGTGGCAGTAGAGACAGGAGTGGCAGGGTGTCAGAGGGACGGCAGTGACACATGGAGGCGCCAGGCGGATGTTGTGGGCTGGACTTGACAATTGCTGCTTAATGCAGTTCAAAATGCGAGTCTGGGCAGGACGGCCGCTGGCTTCCTTCGTGGTTATTTTGTAAAATGACAGTATCATGGCCCCAAGCAGGAGCCTGAGTTGCAACCATCTTGGTTCATTACCTTTAACCCCAAATTTGCCACTCTGCAGCTGTCCTGCTCACCATCTTCGTAGTCGTACACACTCCCCAACACTGTGCTTCCCAGAGGACCCTGGATAAAGGATAAATGCTGCAGAATCACATGAAATTCTTCCCCAGACAGCAGAACCTCCCAAGCTTGGACCCCATGAACAAGCCCAGTGCTGTGCCAACCTGACCACTTGAAGAGATTTACACCATTACTTCACAGACTCGCCTAGAAAGTTTGCCCCATCCAGCACTCGCTCTTCCTCTCTCTCTCTCTGGATTAAGCGCCTCTCATTTCCGAACAGTTCTAGGGATTTCCGAAATAGAGCAAAATGCTCTGCCTTAAAAGGACCAGTGATTAAATCATAACCAGTGATTTAATGAAGGACTCAGCAACCTTTTCTTTCTTTTTAAGATTTTATTTATTTATTTGACACACAGAGAAAGATCACAAGTAGGCAGAGAGGCAGGCAGAGAGACGGGGGGGGGGGGGAGCAGGCCCCCCGCCGAGCAGAGAGCCTGATGCGGGGCTCGATCCCAGGACCCTGAGACCATGACCTGAGCCAAAGGCAGAGACTTAACCCACTGAGCCACCCAGGTACCCCATCAGCAACCTTTTCATTTGAAAGAGGATAAAGTATGATGAAAGGGCAGGGGAAAAGGATAGAGAAGGAAAGAGAAGATGTCAGGCTGGGTGTTTGGAAGGTGTGGGGCAGACAAGTTTGTGCTCTGGATGGCCTTTCCTATCCATCTCGAGTCACACTGGCCTTGACTTCTAAACATTAGCTGGGTGCTCATTCTTGGGCTTTTTTGTGTGCTTAAAGAATTTGTTTTTGTGTTTAAAGAATTTCTTTATCTAAAATCATTATATGCAACCATTTCTTCTTTGCACGCAAACACTTATCTTTGACCACTCTATGGACAAGCAAGGGCCCCATCTATTATGTTCAATGTTGAATCCCCACGGTCCACACTGGGAGTGGGGACATGGACATTGCTCAAGAAACAATGAATGAATGAATGAATGAGTAATCAGAACTAGAATATACTGGTTTCTCCATGTCATTAAATCACCAATCATTCAACTGTATTCTTAGGTTGGGTTCACATAATGCTCAACCTAGGTTGTCATCACCAGCCTGGTTATTTTAACGACTGGCAAAAACTTTTAGATTGTCATCGTATTTAGAAAAACAGCTAACATATATACATGGTGGTGAAAGGGAATTCTGACTAGAGCCAGATCCCCCGCAAGACTTAGAGTTTATTCAGCTCTCCCACGAGGTCAAGTTTAGCCTCCTGTCCCATGAATGTGCACTTGATATCAAGAAATTTAAAGGATGCATTGACCTTTTTGTTTTATTTCAGCAAACTCCAGAAGACAAAGAGGGATATGAGATGGCTTCAAGGAGTGACTGGCGAATGGTTTGAGGAAATTCAAAGAAAAAAGTTCTGCAATGAAACAGATGTTAACCAGATGTTAAAACAACCACTTACGTACAGACTCAGGAAGGGGATGGCAGAAAATGGTGAGAAAAAAATTTAAATCTAGATTTTTTTTTTCTTTCTTACAGCACAGCGTTCTAGGTAATGACTCAGTGGGTTTCCAATGGAACCAATCCATATTTAGGACTGTTTTTAAATCATAAGGCACAAAAGTTTTATCATCTAACGTATAATAAAAAGCATGAACTGAAAATGTGCTACAATGTCTTGGGAGGGTTTAGAATCAGGCAAGATAGCGTAGTGGTTAAGAACACAGACATCCATAATAAAAAAGAAGACTTGGATTCAAATCTCCATTCTGTCTATATTCTCTGTTCTATCAGAATCTCATATACGGTTCAAGTTACTTATTCTCTGTAAGCTTCAGTTTTCTCATCTTTATTATTTTTTTTAAAGATTTTTTTTTTAATTTATTTGACAGACAGATCACGAGTAGGCAGAGAGGCAGGCAGAGAGAGAGGAGGAGGCAGGCTCCCCGCTGAGCAGAGAGCCCGATGCGGAACTCGATCCCAGGACCCTGAGATCATGACCCGAGCTGAAGGCAGAGGCTTTAACCACTGAGCCACCCAGGCGCCCCAGTTTTCTCATCTTTAAATGGGTATCTTAATACAGCTCATAGGGTGGTTTTATACGGATAAGGCACCGAGCTGGAACACAGCAGACACTTAAATGAATGGGATAATGGTGCAAAAGAAGGGGGGAGGGGGGGGGGGGGGGGGAGAAAAAGGGGGAGAGGGGATTATGGGAGGAAGTAGTGGAAAACCCCCCCACCCGTCTGATATTTCGGTAACTTAAAATCTGTAGGTAAATGCTTCTTTGAACACCCCAGCTATGTGACTACACTCACCTCACTCATCTTCCCCCATCACTTTTTAAAAAATCTATAAATGAGGGGGCGCCTGGGTGGCTCAGTTGGTTAAGCAACTGCCTTCAGCTCAGGTCATGATTCTGGAGTCCTGGGATCGAGTCCCACATCGGGCTCCCTGCTCAGCGGGGATTCTGCTTCTCCCACTGATCTCTCTCCTCTCATGCTCTCTATCAAATAAGTAAATAAAATCTTTAAAAAAATCTGTAAATGAGGATAATAAAACCCACTTTCACAATTCATCAATATAATTTCATCAATTATAAAGTACAAAAACAGTATAGAGTATCTTCCTACTGATATAGTCATATTGACTACTTCTGCTGGTGTGTTGCTACCATTAGTAACATCAAGAAACATGTAACAATATTTCTAAAGTTATTCCAACAATATTTTACAACTCCCATAATAAACAAATCCATCTAAAAAGACTCATAGCTCAGACTTTGAAATTTACCCTATATAGACCATGGCGACTTTCCCTTACCTTGAATTCCTCTAATATTTATAAATCCAGCATGTCTAAATATATTACAGTATTGTAGACTTTGTATATGTTGATGTTGCCTTAGAATTTTTAACGCTTACATATATGTGTTATCTATACATATATTAGACGTGTTTCTGTTACAAGCAGACACACATTTAAACCATATGTGTAGCAAATACACAGAGGTAGATTTCTGATGGGAATAAGGAACACTCTAAGTGGCTTAATTTCCTTTTCCTTTACTTTCTTTGGAGTAAAAAGCTGCGTAGTGTCTATCACTGTGGCTTTAAAGCACTAAGATAAAAATGTCTGCAGGACAGGGAGGACAGGGTAGCTAGAAGCACCCCGAAAGCTGAACGAGGGCCCTGACACCTTACGTTAGGTTTTGGATGGATTTGGGCATCTGGTGTGTGGGGAGGGACGTTCCACAGAACTGCGGTTCACAGTGCGTATTATAAGACTCCCTACTCTTTGTAAGGATTTTCTCTACTCGACAGAGCCATCAGAGGCGGGGGCTCCCCTGACGTCCTAGGGTCTTCATGTGGGGGTGCCTGCTGCATTCCCCTTCTGCATTAAGTGGTGGGAAGCAAGAACGAAGTCTTAGTTCTCCGAGATGTATTTACCTGGAAACACTGGGTGATGCCAGATTTCTACAATTTCTCTAGATTCCATGAAATTACAAACATCAAGATCTAAAAATACAGCTCATCAAAGAAACCCAACATCCGTTTCTTCTCGGCTGAGTTTCCGATCGTCATTTGCGTCCCTGTTCTCGTTCAGAAAATCCAGAAAGGAGACTTTAAAGCTTCAGTCTCTGGGACAGAAAGGGTGAGTTAAACTCGGGTCTTGTGGCAGCTCTGACGTCAGAGGCCGGTAGCCTGTTTTGTGTTCAGAGTGTTTAATGTTTGTTCTCAGGGTTTAAATGCAGATAGTCACAATTGAAACAGGACTGAGCTCGCAGAGGGACAAAGTCCTTCTGAAACCATGAAACTTGACTCTTTTGAAAGCCAGCTTCTAACCAACTACACAGATCCCAGGTCGTACACTCGATGAATGATGAGTTAAGTGTTGGGAAATGCTCATTGATTTTCTCCACTGTTTCAAGAGCCTGGTCTATGCCCTGGTCAGGAAGCTATCTCTATTTTATTTTATTTTATTTTATTTTATTTTATTTTTCTTAAAGCCGTTATTAGATTGGCTGTCAAAATTATCTAAACAGTCTGCCTCAGAAATTGTTCTGATGCTTGTTCTGGGAAAAAAAAAAAAACAACGAAAAGAAAACTGCCTTTTCAGATCAGATAGTCTATTAGCAGTGATGATTATGGTCCATAGATTAGGAAGAGATCTTTAAATCAGAACTACTTTTTCCTTGGGAATATGTGTGTCTGTGGTCACAGGGAGAGATGGGGTAGAAAGATGAAATGAAAGTAAGATGAGCACGAGAGTCGAGAAAACTTGCATTTTAAAACCAAGGGGATAAAGATATTGCCGTGACTAACCGGATTCAGGACGGCTGTTCTGCTGGGGGAAACCCAGAATTTAACCTTAAGGCAAAGGAAGGGAAGCTTTTTGGAACAGGCGTCGTTCCAGAGAGTTCCCAACATAGAACGGTGCAAATCAATTCATCTCGACTCACAGGCTGTTGGGATGTTTTGGGAAAAACAAGCAAGGCTTTGCTTACATGCGGTGGAGCTGACTGGTGAATATTTTCAGCTTGTCTTCCTGGTTGAAAAGCTTCCCACCCTCTTAAGGTATTGGCTTCACACGTGACGTGTGCCGTCAAACCATTCAGTGTGTGTTGCCGCACCAGACAGGAGCTGCCGGAGGTCACTCCTGCTGGAAACAGTAAGTGGCACGCGGCTCGGGGGCGGCAGGGGATGAAGCTCCCGAACCTGGAGAGCAGAATTCTGCCCTCCCCTCCCTGGTGGATGGAAGGCGTTTTGCTCTCCACGTTCACCTGAACCCGCTCTCGTCTTTGCTGAAATAATGAGGAGCTGAACAGAAAGTAGATTTATGTGACTGTCCCTACCCGAGTCACTTGCAAGGAAGTACTCTGCGAATAGGTGAGTTGCTTTTCTTCCTAAAAATGTTTGAAACACCAGTAATCCTCTCATTTGGGGATTTAGAGTCAAGGGGTGTTTCCTGCGGAGGGATTATGTATTTTAAGGACAAAGGGAATATCCCTGATGTGTGGTGTAGCTGGGACTTGAGATAGGAGTTTGCGTTGTCGGTGATTTTCTTTAAGGCAGAGTTTTATACAGCTAACAATCTGACATCAGTAAACCGGGAAAAGTTGAAGAACCTGTTCACTCTGTGGACAAGTTATTTCCAAGCTCATATTGCAAGTCACGGCAAAAGTGGGTTAAAGAAGACGGCAAATCTAGAATCTTCCATGGGGATATCATGTTTTCTGGGTACAGACCAAGGTGAAAAAAAAATTTGCAACTTCGCAAAATTCTGTTTAGTAACCATCCTTGTGTGCCAGCATGACTTGCAACTTTCTTTTAACCACACAAACTGAAACATAAAAATCAGAATGCAGACATGAAGCAGATTTTATCCTTTAAGTATATATGGGTATATTAAGCAGTTTTCAGAATTTGTCTTCTCTGAATCCATTTTACTTTCAAAATGGAAATGGAAATGAATATTTATTCATTGTGCTGGTGCAGAATATCATGAAGACACTGTTTTTTTGCTCCTAAGAAGTTTCAGTAGATAAATTGCAAAAATATTAATTTTTTTAATTTATTGTTCTCAAGATTGTATTTATTTATTTACTTATCCATTTGAGAGAGGGAGAGAGCACAGGTAGGCAGAGTGGCAGGCAGAGGGAGAGAGAGAAGCAGGCTCCCCGCTGAGCAGGGAGCCCGACACCGGGCTCGATCCCAGGATCCCAGGATCATGACCTGGGCTGAAGACAGACACTTAACCCAGCTGCCCCTGTCCTTTTGATTCTTAAATATGTGTGTGACCTAAATATTCGGATATAAATCCTGAATGTGTGTGTGGCCGGGGGTGGTTTTAGGGAGTGTTTACTGTGGCAGGAATATACATTGTGTGTTGTGCATTTTCAGGGACACTTGACTCTTAAGTAGAGCCTACCTTTCTTTGGCAGTTCTGACTTTTGAAATACAAAGTCCACCTTCCAAATACATGATTCAGGATCTCCTCCTCACCTTGAGCTGCACCAGGAAGCAGCCAGCTGCACGGGCCAGCTCCAGGAAAGCAGAGTCATTGCGTGCCAGGTAGCCGTCAGGTTCCTACTTGCCGAAGCCATCTCGGTTCCACTTTGTCACACTCGGTGCTCCGCGGAACAAATCAGCCATGCAGTTGAGAGGATCTTTTTGCAAATCACAGGGAGAGAACCCACCCCTCCAGGCAAAATACAGCCTCCTGCTCAACCCTAAAAGACGCAAGCATCATAGAAATATCTTTTCATCTTTTAAGCTGTGGTTTAACCAAAAAATGACATTGGATCGTGGAGGACACTCCCTGGAAGAAAAGGGATTTGGTCATTTCATCAGATATTTACTTTAGAAAGGCCCAGTCAATAAAAGTATATGATATACTGAAGCTTTGATTTCCTATAAGGAGTGGGTAAAAAGCTGTGGGAACATGGTGACTGAATGAATTAACAAAAAGGCAAAAAGTTTGCCATTTCTGTTTCACATAAGGACAAGTTTCTCCTCCTCCTCCTTTCTATGCACTTCCCGAATTATGCCATTATTTTTTATTCAATATTTCATTTATTTATTTGTTGGAGAGAGAGAGAAAGAGCAGGGGGAAGAGCAGAAGGGGAAAGAATTCCAAGCAGACTCACTGAGCTGAGCACAGAGCCCGACTTGGGTCTGGATCCCAAGACCCAGAGATCATGACGGGGTGGGGAGGAGCAGAGCACTGTGTGTGGTTGGGAACAGGTGCCCCACGAACTCCAGGACGTGGCAGAATATCATGGGTTCAGGTATTTCTTATGGCAGTTTTCTGGCAAATGACAGTATCTCGAGGAAGGGGCACCCTGCGGAATTCACAGGAGGTACCATCCGGCCTCGCTGTGGCCTGAGTGACCACTGAGTCCACCGGTGATTATGGTGTCCTCTGGTGAGTGCTAGGGAGGGTGCTGGTACTCCTGCCATGAGAACACATGGGCGAAGCGCTGAACTCAGACTGGAGGACCGGAAGCCTTCCTGGAGGAGGAGAGCCCATTGCCAAAGGACACAGAGGACTGAGCCCGGTCATTAAGAGTTGGGAGGTTCCACTAGGCAGAAAAACTGACACAGCCAAGGTGTGGAGACTGGAAAAAGCAAGAACACATCTAGGTCACTGAGGTTCAGTGACCCAGTATAAGGTGAGACCAGTAAGAGGTGGAATGGGAGAGGTTGGCAGAGGCCATAACACAGGGACCAGCGGTGCTAAGGACATGCAGCGCTAAGAAGCTTGGATTTGATCCCATAGACAATGGGAAGACCTTAATCACTTTCACTTTAATACCATTTTCCCTTACTTTCTATATATTTTATATATATGTATATGTTTTATATATGTGTATATTTTGTGTGTATTTCTCTTATATATGTGTGTGTGTGTATGTATACTTATGTATATTTATATCCGATATATTGGGTAAAGTCACCCACAACCCACTGCCCTGGACAAACACTAAAATATTTTGGTGTATTCAGTGCATGTGTGCAGGTACACATGTCTATTTTATCCATTGCTAGTTTTATCTTTTTTCTTTTTTAAAGTAGTCTCCGTGCCCAGCGTGGAACCCAGTGCAGGGCTTGAACTCACAGCCCTGAGATCAAGACCTGAGCTGAGATCAAGAGTCGAACGCTCAGCTGACTGAGCCACCCAGGTGGCCCCCCTTGTTAGTTTGTAAGCAGAAGAATGACATGATCAGATCTTCATTTTACGAACATTATTTTAGCGTGGTGCTTCTCAACCAGGGACAGTTTTGTCCCCCAAAAGATATTTCTGGTTTTCACAATGAAGGGTGGGAACTCTGGGCATTCGGTGGGTAGGGGGTCAGCAATGTTGCTGGGTAACCCATGTTGCTACGACCACCACCCCCAAAGAAATGCCCCTAGGGCCGAGGCTGGGAGATTGATCTGGCTACAGCACAAGGAACAGACTTGAGGGGGCAAAACCGGAGTCAGAGAGACCAGGGAAGGGGCTGCTGAGATGATGGACGAGGTAGCAGGCAGGGAGGAGGGCAAACTGTGGGCAGATTTGCGCACGACTTAGAATGTAGAGTCGGGAGAACCTGCTGACAGGATGTGGTGGGTGAAGAAGACGGGGGAATGGAGGTGAACTCTTTCCCCCAACTTAGGAAACTCAGCAGGTGCTGGTGATGAAAGATCGTTGGAGCAGATGTGATGAGGATGAAAAGGAACACGTTTGCTTATTTATTCAAGAAGGGTGCTCAAGCAACACGGTGTGCGGCGCCCTGGAAGGAAGCATGCAGCCCTTGCTATCTCGGGCTTCAGTCCGGTGGGGATGACGGAATGGAAAGAGAGAAACGTAGAACGCTGGTGCTATGGCGGGGAAGTTCCTCATGCTCTGGGAGCACGACGTATGAGGGAGTGTCTGGTACATTACCTCTTGAGCCCAAGAGGTTTTCCAGGGAAGATGACATCAGTCATGGTTTTTCAAGAAGAGGAGAGTTGCCCAGGCACACACGTGGTAGAAATAGGTTTCAGGTACATTCTGTGCAGATGCTCAGAGCTGTGCCAAGTGCCTGTGGCAGAGGGATGTACAAATGCAGAGTGTATGGGGACTAGGTTGTATAGAGCCTTGCAGGTGCAGGGTAGAGTTTGAATCATAAAATGTTACACCAAGAAGTAGTATGATTCACTTTACACTGATCGCTCTGGCTATAGAGTAGGTAGTGGATTGGAACAAAACTTGGAGGGAGAAGGACAGGCAGGGGAGTAGTGCCAACATGAAGGCAGAAGATGGTACATGCCGTAACTGGGGTATAAATGGGGGGGTGGGGAGGTATGGGTGGTTTCTGGTTGTGAATCTACAAGATCAATGACTGGATGGGAAACAGTAGACGTGGAAGAAGGACACAGAGTCCATTTGGGACACGGAGGGTCTGCATGGCCCGTGGTCATCCAGATGGAGCTCCTCAGTGGCCAGTGCTCAGAGCGTGCTGCATCACTGTGTGGGGGAAGTCACCTGGGATTCTGGTGGTTTTTTTTAAATATATTTTTTTATTTATTTGATAGAGAGAGAGAGATGAAAAGTAGGCAAAGAGGCAGGCAGAGAGAGAGAGGAGGGAGCAGGCTCCCCACTGAGCAGAGAGCCCAATGCAGGGCTCAATCGCAAGACCCTGGGATCATGACCTGTGCCGAAGGCAGAGGCTTTAACCCACTGAGCCACCCAGGTGCCCCCTGGTTTTTTAAAAGAATATTCTTGAGCTACACTCTCATGTATTGAGTGAGAATTTCTGAATGGCTTCTGCAAAGGTGGAGAGACGAGAGAGTATTTTATGGAAGTGAAATAAATTTGGTAAGTCAAGCTTATAGGTTCCTAGAGATGAGCGGAGTGTTGGGGGATAAGGCGTGAAGGGTGTGGGGGGTGGGTCCGGGAGGCTCATCAGACAACAGAAGAGCCTTGCATCAATTAAGATTTTGGGTAATACCTTGTAAGATGGTAAGCAGGGGACTGATGTGACTGCATGTGCATTTTAGGCAGATCTCTGTTGGTGGTAGGAAAGATGGAGAGGAGTCGGGAGAGAAATTATAAAAGTTTCATAGGTGGAGTGAGTGACCTTCCGGATGTGGCCTCGGCAGGGCTTGAGAGCAAATGCAGAAGATGCGGCAGCTTTGTGTCCCTTGCAATCACTTGTCCAGGGGACTCCTACCAGCAGAGCTCCCATCACACCGCTGCTGCTTTCATTCACTCTGCAAGCAAAAGCCATTCACATTAGAAACAGAAATTCCCTTTTAGGAGGGCCTGAGAGTGGGTGTGGAGACTCTGGGCCCCCAAGCCACCTGAGTCCTACGCCCATAAATCCACAAGGGCATACTCAGTCTTGCACACCGTCAGGGGACACGCATCCCCCATGGGGCACAGCACTCCCTTGCACTCGGTGGCACTCTGTCATGCTCCTGCCACCCTCTAAGTCACATCCTCTACCCTTCTGCCAGTCCCGGGAACAGATCCCTACCCCAGCTGCCCACGCTCCAAATCAGATTCGGGACCCGGGGAGCCGCGTGGGCATACCGTGAGGGCTGCAGCCCCCGGGGCTCTGGAAAGACTCTTCCCAATCTGGCATGTTCTCTTGGCTCCGGCAAAATTGAGTTTCTTGCCAGTTCCCGAGCTCCCTGGCTCTTGCCCATCTCCAGGTTTTGCCCGTGCTGTTCTCCGCCTTTCAAACCAGTTCACCCACCACCTTCCCACCTTCCCCTTGTCCCCTTCCCTACTCACCCCCCACAAGTACTCACCGTGGCCTCTGCATGTTCAGGGCATTTAACTCAACATCTCCTAATTGTCCGCATCACCCATTTGCTTGTATTTTGACTCTTTATGTATCTAATCGTTCCTACTGCAAAAGCTCTCAGGGAACAGGGTCCCTATCTCAGTCCTGTTGGTTTCCTCCACAACACTCAGAACAGTGGTGGCAGAAAGGTGGCCTGTAGGCTCAGTAAGGCTGTGGGGGAAAAGAAGAATAAAAATAAGAGCAGTATTCGATATTCAAGTTCTAGATATTTTTCTTTTAGAGCTGGTGTTTCAGAGTAATGTGAAACATAGTCCATGATACTAATTTCCATTTCTGTTTAAAATTCAAGCTAAACCGTCAGCTATAGCTGGATATCTTCAACATCTAAAACTGTATGGCTTCCCAGGTTTTATGCCCAACTCTGGGGAACCATGGAGCAGCTAGGAGCTCCAATAAAGGAAAACCGTATCTTGCCACTTTCAGCTGATCTGACCCAAAGTCCTGGTTCATTGTTTAAATGCTCGATTCCCTTTTGCTGTTTTCTTAGGGACGGTGAGGACCTCATTTTGTACAGAGCAGTGAGTCATCACCGTCTATTAAATCTTGAGCTGTAATGCAGGCAGAGTGCCCCCTGGCATAGGATTATGGATCTAAAAGATCAAAATCTATCTCAATTCGGGACCCATGTCTTGTAAATTTTTCACCTTCTGGGAGAAGCCGCATAAACAGTAAAAGTGTAATTGTTCTCCAAGATGGTTTCCTAGTGAATAAGGCATCTTTATAAAACTAAACAACCAGAAGCCATCTTTGAAGGGTTTGCTTTTTTTTAATTAAAGATTTTTATTTATTGATCTGACAGAGAGAGAGATCACAAGTAGGCAGAGAGGCAGGCAGAGAGAGAGGAAGGGAAGCAGGCTCCCTGCTGAGCAGAGAGCCCAATGCGGGGCTCGATCCCAGAACCCTGGAATAATAAGCTGAGCTGAAGGCAGAGGCTTTAACCCACTGAGCCACCCAGGCGCCCCAAGAGTGATGTCTTTAAATGACATAACGTGTATTGATGCACAGTAAGCCTGCAACCCATGAATACTCTTTTTGTTATTCTGTCTTTACGCTGCACTCACATCCAAATCCACCATTATGGAATCTCTTCTTGGCTACCTGAGTGATAAAGGTGGCAAGTGTCGATCCTAAACAGTCCTAAGAAACGCTCTCTGAGGTTTTTTCCAACAGTGCACAAACCAAGAAATGTCTTCCTATAGGATGTTAGAAATACCTCTAATATATTCTCGGGTTATTAAGCTATAACAGCAAATGTGCTGTTGATTTTCCTCCTGGTAAAAGTTGGGCACTTCTTCAAAGAAATTATTTCACATTCTTTCCACAGATGTGACAACCACCCGGGACCTCCTGCGTCTGTGAGGCGAGTCCTTACGGTGAGTAACTGGAAAGTTAAGGTTATGCCAAGGAATTCAGCATTAGTGAAATCCCTGGTTGGCTGCCTACACAAATAGGCTTCTCCTTGGCTCAGCTTTAAATTTACTTTAGAAGCTTAGATTTGCCCTAGAGAGTACAAAGTTTCCCAACTGTTGTAGGTCTCCGGTTGGCTCTGCCGGGAGGGAGCGAGGCCATCGTGTGTCCCCTCACACCATCATGGCATCTCTGATTTTGGACCACGGGTCACTCCCGTACAGTACAGCCTTCGAGCACTGGGCAGTGGAAGAAGCTAGAGGTGTCCATGGGCACTCCTGCAAGCCAGTGTGGGTCTGGGCTTTTCTCGACAAGATCGTCATTTGTGTTCAGAGTGGAAGCCAGTGATCTGTGGGATGCATTTGGCGGGGACAAGTTCACAGGGAGGGACTCACCCCACTGTTTAGATTGAAGTGTCTCTGTGTTCACAGGCGTACAAGATTAAGCAGCTAGACATTTTCTGTATCTTGCTTCATGGTCTTAACTTTTGATCTTCACCTGCCTGTGTCTTACTGTGTGACTCATGTTTTGGAGATGAAAAAGAATGTCGGAAAGGACCTAAGAGTGCAGGAGGAGAGTCTTAGTACTCGTACCTCTCTCTCTCTCTTTTTTTGCCGAAAGCATGATAGAATTCATGGTGAGGAGTACATATAAACAGAGGTTCTTTATTTCAGAAACAAGAGAAGGCCCCCTTTCCTCTTCAGAGTATTGCCACTTCCTTCCGAATAATAGCGAGCGCTATCTCCTTAAGTGTGAGCCCCAGTCATGACACCAACACCAACAACCCGCCACACTCTCTTGGAGAACCTGCTATCACCTGGCACTTGGCAGAGATCATTCCACTTAATCCCTAGGGGATATCTACAAAGTATGCTATTATTATCCCCATTTTAAAGACGAAGAAACTGAGGTTTAGAGAATCTGAAGGTCATGTTCAAGGTCGCTGGTAAATGGTAGAATCCAGAATAGAAAATCTGGGTTTCTGTAACTCCACGGCCAGAAGTCAGTAATGCCTACAGCTCTGTCAACCCCAAAGCCCTGTTTGCTTATGAGCCCTGCTGGCTTGCTAGGGGCAGGGGCTCCTGTCATGGAGCAACGGGCTGGAGAGTCGTGCATCCAGCCCTGCTCCAGGATGCTCCCATACCCTTGTTTTCCTTGGAGAAGGACTCGGAGCTCACCTTCCCCTACCAGGAGGGAGCTATGGGATCTGAAGCATATGAGGAGCACAGAAGGAAGTGCAAATGCCTAGAAGTTATAAAACAGTAGAGCTAATTGGGAGTCCTCAGGAATTGAAAACCCAGTCTGAGGACTCATAGATGACCTTTCGTTGGCACTCTTGATTGCTCCTCGGATCTAACCGTTTCACTGCTTGGAAATGCGTCCCTCTGCGAGGGAGAGCTGGGAAAACAAATGAAACTCTAGACAGTGATTGTTGACTCTGGCTAATGGCTTTTATAAAAATTCAAAGAGAAACTGCCGAAAACAAAGGTTTTGTATGATGTGTAGATTTCCATTATCTATTCATGGAAATCTTATCCCCTTGGCCTACAAACAGCTGAAGGTTGGCCGTTGATGCTGAGGGGTTCTTGCCAAGATCTGAGGTAATGAACTTCTCATCACTTGGTTGGCAGCCTAGCAGGAAGTTGGTTACAAAGGGGACCGGGCATTTTATAGGAGATTGTGCTACACTATTATACGACCTTCTGCTCAAAGAGAAAACAGCTGCCCTGTAGATGTTTTCATCAGCTTCAAAGAAGCAAAGGGGGGGCGCCTGGGTGGCTGAGTGGGTTAAAGCCTCTGCCTTCAGCTCAGGTCATGATCCCAGGGTCCTGTGTTCGAGCCCCGCCTCTGGCTGTCTGCTCAGCGGGGAGCCTGCTTCCCCCCCCTCCCCGCCACTCTCTGCCTGCCTCTCTGCCTACTTGTAATCTCTGTCTGTCAAATAAAATAAATAAAAAATCTTAAAAAAAAAAAAAAAAGAAGCAAAGGGTTTCAGAAAACAGCATTTGGGGAGCCAGAGAGAAGGTTAGAGATTTGTAGCTTAACATTCCTCCCAACCTCAGGCCATTTTGGGCTGAAGAATTCCACGCTGTGGGGGCCACCCTGGGTATCACCGGCTGTTCAGCAGCAACCCTCGCCTCTACTTACTAGATGCCAGTAGTTCTCCTCCACTCGGCCATGAGAGTCAAAAATATCTCCAGAAATTGCCAGTGTTCCCTGAAGCGCACATTGCCCCAGGGAGTGTGGCCGCCTCCTTCGAGCGAGGCAGCCCAGGTCCAAGTAGTCACCATTTCTGAGAGTAGAAAGAAAACACATGGCCTTGGCCACTTGATCCCTCCAGCACTCTGAACAGATTGTGGCTGGGCCTCATGTGAGGTGACGTGCGAGGTCTGTGCCCCCAGACACACATCTCCAGTGTCCTTACGACGCTGGGCCAGTGTGAGCTCCCCGAGGCCAGGACTGTGTTTTCCTGCCTCACGGCAGTGCCTGGCACCACATGAACACTCAGAAGTGGAAAGAAGGAATGAACGAGTGCTTTCCAGCTACAGGTGCACTGGTGGACTTGACCTCTGCAGGAGAGCAGACGGAGAACAAATTCAGCAACACCTTGAAAAATTAATTTGTTGACTTTGCCAGGGTGTGTGATAACATCAGTCAGCTCAGGCTTCAACTCCTGACAGCTGCCGTACAGGTCTGGCCACCCTGGGAAGTTCTCAAATGGTCTAAGGTTACTCTGTGACACGGTTTGTTTGTGTCGTCAGACTTGCAGACGAGAGCAGTAGTGGGAGCTGGGGCGAGTAACAGGCTTCATTTGGCTCAGCCTATTTTAGGTGCTGTGTTTGAGACTAGAACTGAGATCTTAAGAGCCAGTGTTCCAACACTCTGGCTTCTAATTCTTTGGAACGCTTTTCCAGTTCATTTGACGGTAGGCCTCGGGAGGAGTCCTCCGGGAATTGCTTTGAGACCGTAGAAGAATAGGAATGGCCAACAAGTGGACTCACTAAGTGCTAGATACCAGGCTGAAGTATTTCTAGCAATTAACTCACTTAATCCTCACAGCGACCCTGTGGGGCTGGGGAGGAAGTCTTATTGCTGCTCTTGTCATTACTATTGTGTCTTCATTTTACCAAGAAAGAAACAAAGGCACCAAGAGTTTACCTTGTCCAAAGTTATACCCCCAGTAAGGAGCAGAACTAGGATTTGGACTGGTGGAGAACTCATGTGTTTGACCATTATGCTTTCTTGTCTCAGACATGCTTTTCCAAGTCCTAATACTGTAAGATCTTGTATGTCTCGATTTTTGGAAGGGTCTTTACTAGAAATCTCATATATGTAATTTTCTCCCTCGGTATAGAGCATCAGTCATTCGATAGCTGCATGGGCTTGGAGGGGCTGGAACGCTTAAAGAAAGGTTTTCGTCCAAAAGGTCTGCCATCTAATTGAGGTCATGTGCATGAGTAGAATACCAATAAAAAGCAACATAATGGAAAGAACAGGGTTGGGGTTCAGATCACATGAGTGAGAGCAGCCAAGGCCACCATTTATTATTCCTATGACCTAAGTAAGGCACTTACCCAGACTCTGTTTTCCATCTGCAGAATGGGAATGATAATCCCTACTTAATTCTTTAACTTGTTCTAAGTATCATAGGGGAGAGGATATTTTGAAAGTAGGTTGAAAATGGAATCCGTGAGTGATCTTGTTCAAAGATAAGATGGTTGGCATCAAGGGACTGGACAAAATGTGATAGAGACGTTCAGCAGCTGACAAAGGGATGGTGGCAAGATGGTGTTGACGTGCGGCTCAGTAAATCTTCGTGAGTCTCTTACCTGCTGATTCCGTGCTGGATGCTGGGCAGATACTAGGCTTTCGTAGTTATTTTAGAAGTGGGTCTGCTTGCGGGGTCCTGATCTGTTTGTCTTCAAATCCCTGGTTTCCTGGATTGGGGTGGGGACTGGCAGGAAGGAGAGGGGTCTGGTGGCAAAGTGCCAGCGGGAGGAATGTCAACAACTTCTCAGGATATCGCAGGTATAATAACAGGCACCGTAATAGGTACAAAAACACTATTCTAACCGATTCTTTTCGGGGAGAAGGGCTCACAGTGACGGTGATCCACAAGCTGGATTCTGAGGGATGCGTTGGTATTTTCCAGGGGAAGAAGAGAGCAAAGATCGGGAGCATGCGTGGTGGTCTAGGAGGAAGGGTGCGCCATTCTCGGGAACGGGGTGCAGTGGGCTTGGAGCACGGGGCCCTGGAAGGGAGCTGGGGAGGAAGGGCTGAAACAGAAGGTCGAAGAGCAGCAGGATTTTGGCGCGTGGGGGTGTTCTCACCCTCGAGGCCAGGAGTGGGACTTAGGCGTCATCTTTTATGGCAACTTCATGGCATGGAGCAGTGTTTTGAGGAGGATTCTGAGTCCAGGACAGAGCCCCGACTGAAGATCGTGTGTGTCTGGGCCCGGGGGTGGGGGGATTTGCCCCCGTGCTAGTGCTGGGACATTCTTCAGTATCTCAGAATGCATTTGGCCTCAAAAGATGCTTCCAGCTGGGACCTGGGATATTAATAAGCTAACAGAACAGTGAAGAGAGGTTATTCAGCCTGGACTCTGAAATCTCAGAGATTGGGAAGGAATCCTTCCCTCCACAGTGTGACCGGGAGCAAATTCCCTTCTCCCAAGTGAGGTTTTTCTCAAAGTGGCGGTAATCATCGCACCAACCTCATAGCGTGGTGAAAATAATGAAATAAGGTAACTGTATAAAACCCATGTTGCCTAGAATATTCAATAAGCAGATGCTCCTGCTGCTAATAATTATAATTAATAATCACAGTAACTGCTCACACAGAGCTCAAGTGAAAGGGGTCTCTAGAGAGATCGTACGCCTGGTACCTGCCATTGACTGGCACTTGCTTTTTTTAACCATTTCGTCACGGAACAGTATGTCCTTGCACATTAAAGCTGAGTGTAAAGTATTTTTGTTTTAAAGATTTTATTTATTTATTTGACAGAGATCACAAGTAGGCAGAGAGGCAGGCAGAGAGAGAGAGGAAGAAGCAGGCTCCCCACTGAGTGGAGAGCCCGATGCGGGGCTCGATCCCAGGACCCTGAGATCATGACCTGAGCCGAAGGCAGCGGCTTAACCCGCTGAGCCACCCAGGCGCCCCTAAAGCTGAGTGTAAATAAATAAACTCTCCGTATTTTCTCTTCATCATATAACCTGTACCTCTGTGTGTGAGAAGTGTCCTTAACATGTTGGACGAGTAGCATTGGTCTTTTAGCAGAAGCCCCAAGAGGGATCGAAGACAGGGTCTCTAGGGGACAAGAACCCTTTTGAGACGTTCATCTCTTCACCTGAGCCCTCCGTCCACGTATTTTTCATTTAAGTGTAAATTTTCATTATAAAAGCATATGATCTAGGAAGCCAAAAAGCATGTGGTCTGGTCTGTACAGAGGAGAGTTGAAGTTCATTCGGGTGTCAAAATGGTTGAGTGACAATGCTCTTCTCTTAATCAGATGCATCTAGTCTACATGAATGATTCGTTTCCAGTATTTTTTTTTTTTAATTTATTTGACAGAGAGAGACAGCGAGAGAGGGAACATAAGCAGGAAAAGCGGGAGAGGGAGAAGCAGGAAGCCCGATGCTGGGCTTGATCCCAGGACACTGGGACCGTGACCTGAGCTGAAGGCAGTCGCTCAACAGCTGGGCCCCCCAGCGCCCCTTGTTTCCAGTTTTATTACAGTCGGTTTTATCCAGTTGGTATCTCACTGTAGTTACCTTGCCTCTCTCTGTATTTGTTTACTTCTGGTTCTTATATTAGTGTGTTTAATTACATCCAATGACCCACAAAAGTGATCGCAGGATTGTTTCTCTCTTATTCATAAATGTCGGCATGTCTTCCCTTCCATTCCTTGCCTATAGAATTGAAAACCTCTAAGTCAGTGAAATGTGGGCAGGGCCCCTACAAGAAATAAATGACCTAGATCTTGAGAATGAAAACAGGTAGGAGTGAAAATCCTAGATTGTAAGGAGTATAGAAATCAGGAGAACCTGAGATTTAGAACTGGACAGACCTGGGATGGAGAAGTAAAAAAGTTGGAGCTTGGAAAACATTAGAGATTTGGTCTTAAGCGTTCAAGGGGAGATGAAAGGTAACATTTCAAACATCAAAGGGAAGGAGAAAACTTGGAGGGGCCGTGGGAGCCAAGCGGCAAGCGCTGGGTAGATGAGGGAGTGGACAGCAGAGACTGAATGGGAAGTGGCTGGTAGCGTTGTTCAGGGACAGGAGCAGAACGAGTTAGAGCAGAGCCACAGAGCCCAGAACCAGTGTGACAGAGGAAATGCAAATGGAGTTTCGGCAATAGAAAGTGAAGGCGTGGGAGTGCATGATCCCCCGAGGTCATGGGGACAAACTAAAGCTTGAGAGTAGGGCAGTGATAGATTTGGAGAAATCAAGATCAACGGTGGCTGTTAAGACAGGAAAACATTAACACTGCCTCATTCCCCTAAACTCTGTCTTGCTAGCAATAGTGCTTCACAACAGCAACAAAAATTTATAAGGTCATACTTTTTAGCACCTTTGATCCAGAACTGTATCAGCTGCTTATGTCTGTCTGGGAGGGTCTACCCTTCTGAATGAACTCTGTGGCTAGAAATAGTTTTTGTTTTCCCCCTAAAGCATCAAGTTCACAAATCTTAAGGTCCGGTACAAGCTTCAGCTCACCAGTTCTTGATAGAGCAGGAACAGTGTTAAGAAATCTAAAATTCCAGCCTTTGGGGCCATGGAGACAACACTCCCAATTCAAGAGAGGTCGGTTTCTTTCCTGTGTTCCGGGAAACTCCCTAAGACTTGTGTCGTGCTCTGTCTGTAGGAGTACTTGGCAGAAAGAAACTCAATATACTGCTTGAAGACTCAGAGTAAAAACCATTAGTGTAAGCGTAGAGAAGTTCGTGATCACTTACAAATGCCAGAAATAATAAAACATTCTAAGTTGAGAGGTGTTAGAAAAATTGATTTGCTTTCCTTAGACTAAGAATTTTAGGTTTGGGAGCTTTTTGTGGCAACATGTGAGTATTCTAGCTAGAGAAGGTCCAGAAATAATATTGCATTTTTCTGTCTCAAAATTAGCAGGCAAAAATACACAGCTCACCTCTGGAAAATCCGCCATTTGAGAGTGCATTTGTCCCCAGGCCCACAAGCATGAGGGAGGGAAGTGGCGTGCCCCCGTGGGATGCATCCCTGCTAGAAAATGAGTATTTCCAAGGTAAGTCTATGTATGAAGCTGACGCCCGGAACTAAAGCAAATAATGATTGCGGTGTGTGTTAAAACGCTCAAGACATAGCAGTCCATGTATTTTTTAAATCCTTTTGCTTCCCTTATCTGAAGAGGAGGCTGTTACATGCTACTAACACAAATATTCCAGAATCTTCTATTTAAATATAATCTAAGCAAATATGCTCAGACCAAGGCTGATAATTCTGTGGAATGATAATAACGTTCCATAGTTAACCTCAGGTAAAAAGGAAATGCATTTCTAAGAAATACGTATATAAAGTTTACTGTTCCTAATGGACTTTTATTGTTCCCAGTCAGTACCTAAATGCACTGTGACGAAACCTAATTGTTGTTAAACAACTAACCTTGTACAACAGATAGCAATAAAAACAGACACATCCCCAAAGGAGCCGCATACACATGGATCTTATTATTATATAAAGCATAGCTCCCCTTTCCTTAGGTTATTCTGTATCAAAATAAAACCTGGCCGTTGGAACAGTCAACTCTGAAGTCATTCACCAGCTTCACGCTGAGGAACTAAATTCCGTTTGCAGAGGCAATGACCACCTCTGGATGCTGTGTTGGGAGAGGGGGGTGGTCAGAGAGAGACACCCATCTGGGGGAGAGGGGGCTGACCTTTCAGTTACATGGTTCCTGGCAGAGAACTTGCTTCAGAGAAACATAGCCCAGAGGAAAATCTGTTACACAACAAAGGTTTGCTAATATAGGAGAGCTACTGTTTATGACATGGAAAAAAAAATGATTTGGCTTCTCTGAAAATAAAAAGGAAACACAGAACAGATTATTATTTTTTTTTAACCTCAAGAGTAATGAATATAACGGGCTTTTTGAATAATTTAAAATCCTCCTTTGGGGATGTTAAAAGTGGTTACATCTGGGGAGGAATCCAGGAGTTTTATCTTTTTGTTATACTTTCCCATTTATGTTGCTTTTGTAGGTAGCAAAAGACTTTATTTAAGGGGGGAAAAAACTACAACTAGCTTGAAAGGAAGAACAGCAATCAAAGAGACTTTATTATAATTTGTTTCAAGGACAGATTTTTTACTCATGATATAATTTTGACATAATTGTGTTTTCTTTATACCTTGGCTTACATTTTGGCACTGTTTGATTTTTGTGTGTGTGGATAAGTGGAATTATTTCAGTGACGGGAGATAAATAATTTTTTTCTTTGGGATGATTCCCTGTAGACTTCCTTAGGTACAGATTTTCAAGATTTGTTCTTCCGGTGGCTGTGCAGACTTAAATAGCACCAGCTTACAAATACTGTAGGGTTGGGAAAATCTGGAACAGACATCAGAAATCTCTTTGACACCTGCCTGAACACAGTTGATATATCTAGAAATATATCCCACCCACCTTCACAAATGCTGATATGCCTCCCTTTCCCTGTCATTGAAGAGTTAAGATGAAATTTTTTAATGACAAATCATTTTAAGGAACCAGGGAGAGAGTGCACCATTTCTTTTTAAACTTTAGCATGTTACCTTTTTTTTTTTTTTTTTTTTAGATTTTATGTATTTATTTGTCAGAGAGAGAAAGCACAAGCAGGGGTAACAGCAGGCAGAGGGAGAAACAGGCTTCCTGCTGAGCAGAGAGCTCGATGTGGGACTGGATCCCAGGACCCTGGGATCATAACCTGAGCCTAAGGCAGATGCTTAACCAATTGAGCCACCCAGGCGCCCCTGAGAGTGCACCATTTTATGTAACTTAGAAGGAAAGTTGTGGTTTCTTCAGCAATTTAAATTATCCCATAACTTATTTCTCATACCAGATTTGACTGTCATGAATGAACATTTCTTCAATAAATACATAATCTACTTGTTTGTATTTATTATAACATGAATATGATAAAAATGTATCCACGACAAAATGGGTCCTTGGGAATCTTGAAACCTAGGTTTTTCTTGAGGAAAAGAGGTCATATATGAGTAAGTAAACACAATTCAAAGAAATATCAACAGACTGAATGTATCCTGTGACTTGTCTGTGGTTTCAGAGGCTGGGGTCCTAGTAAGCTTGATCTCTGGTTTTGGGCTGCCCCAGGTCCTCCATATTAGAAGGAGGTCACTGAGCTCTGACTTGGACACCACCCTCCAACCTTGCCACTGAGAGAAAAGTCAACCGTGCTTAACAACAGCAAGTCCAAATCCTTGTAACATCATGAGCTTGCAGTGAAATCACCTTTATAGTTCATTAAAAAAATGAAAAGCGAGCTTTTATGGCCCAGGCATTATATTATGTGGACTCAGCAGACAGACGGCCTGTCACCTTGACAACCTTGACAACCTAATCTGTTCATGCCTAGTTTCCTCATTTATAAAACAAGAACAGTAATAGTGCCAGTCTTATAAGGTTCTGTGAGGATTTAATGCATTAATAAGTTAAGTATTTAGAATCAGGGCTGACACATAGAAAGTGTGATATTATAGGGATGATAGTGGGGTCTTTATTTTTCCAGGAAAACAATCTAGCGTTAGCACATCAGTTAGCAATATTGTATAGAACTTTAAATTTTCTGTATTGCTCAAATCCATCCAAGTAAGTATGTTTATAAATTACATGCTTGAGCTTTTGGTGGTAATGCTGTTTTTTTTTTTTTAACAGTACAACTGAGAAATCACATGTTATTTACAGACTCTCATTTTTATTGGAACCCTCTGAGTTAAACATGGTGGGAAATATTTTAGCTACCTGGTGACACAAAAGATGAACTAAAAAAAAGCCAAACACACACTTAAAATTTTGTTGTTGGGGGAAAAAAATGTAGCTTTATGTCCTTAAGGCATTATCGAAAGTTAATTTTGAAAAAGAATGAAAAGGAAACTTCCTCCACAACTTTGTAAAATTCAGAATATCTTAAAAACATAATCAAAACATATGTCACCACATTTATGTAAAAATAAAATTAGAGGGGCACCTGGGTGGCTCAGTCAGTTAGGCATCCAGCTCCTGATTTGGGCTCAGGTGTTGCTCTCAGGGTCATGGGTTCAAGCCCCATGTTGGGCTCCACACTCGGCATGGAGCCTACTTAAAAAAATAAAAATAAAATTTTAAATGATTTTATTTCTTGATGAGGGGCCCCAATAACTCAAATCATTATTAGATTGTAAAGTGTTGTACAAAAAAGCTGACTCATATTCTCCTTTCAGTTTTGGATGATTTGGACACCAAACTGGCTCAGGAACAGTGTCCAAGCTCCGTGAATACCACAACATCTGTCAGCTATGGATCGAGAACAGAGTTCAGTCATTTCTACTCTAGAGGGAATTCCACACATGGTAATATCACCGGATGGCACAAAAACCACTATAATGAAACTTCTAATCTGTCTATCTATGACATCCTGAGGCCAGGAGCCCCTAGGGAAGGTTTTAGAACCTTTTCTCCGAGAACAAAAACAATTTATGATATGTACAGAACAAGGGAGCCCAGGCTCCTAAAAGAAGATTCTGTGCAAAAGAATACTTTTGGTAGTACTTCTCTGTGTTTTGACAGCAGGCAACGATCAGCTTCACCAGCTACAAGATATTTCACAGCAAGAAGCTTACATTTTCCAACCATCACTCAGAACAAGAGTGGGTTTCTACCACCCAGGCACCAGCAGAGCCCAAAGAGGACTCCTTTGTCGTCCATCATATGGAATAGAGCGGATTCTTCTGGAGATAGGCAGAGCCAGGAAGAGTTTCCGAGGGCCCCCTCACCCATGGAGATTGACACTGCCGACCCGTATGTGTATCCCAGATGTTTTCGGGAGAAGACGAGATACGGATTCTACCGTTCACAGAGTGTTTACCAAGGTGTTCATTTTAATGCCCCCGTGGATAATGCAATGAGTCCTGACCCGTTTGAGAACTCAGAGAATATGCCAGTCTACCCTCAGGAAAACCCATTTGCTCGATCTTTCTCTAGCAACACCTTTGGACGAAACAGGGAACGAAGATTTAGACAGAGTCCTTTTTGGGACCAACAGGAGGAACATTCTTCCTGGTCTGAGTTTCATCAAAGCAGGCATCTCCTCCCTTCTTCCCACAGAGACTTTGAAATGATTTCCATGGAAGCAAATAGTGTGTTGGCTGCTCGTGACCATGGTGTTCCTTCTCAACACTGGGGATCGTTTTCTTCTAGTTACAGAACAAATATGTTCGGAGGTCAAGAAGAGCCACACCCCTGGCAGTTTGATTCTCCGACACCCACGCTGGAGAGCATGGAGATGTCACGAGGTAATGGGAACCAGTCGACTCATTTCAACACACCGAATGTTTGTGCTCTGACTGGTCCAGGCTATCACATCCCATCTGGTAAGTCAGTGTGTCAAGACGGCAGTCATCCTACGGATGTACACATAAACAAAGAATCTTATTCATCTGGCATCGCTCAGACTCTAGCATCTACGTTCAAAACTTCATTCCCCCAGATTCCTGATGACAGAGGGAATCCTCAGAGTCCCACCTTTCAGAAGCCCACCGTCACCACACAGAAAATTAAGCCTGCCTCTCTTCCAGGAAAAACCTATACAGAAGTCACCGTGACCAAAAGGAATTCAGTTGATTCTCCACCTCTTACTGAAAACCCACCCAATATCTTGGCCACAGAAGTGAGCCATGAGAAAGACTTGAACGACTCTATTTTGGGAGAATATGAACAACTGAACAAGATGGACCAGACAAACGTGACAAGTGAAATGCCCCAACCCGATGCACAGACTGTAATCTCTAACCCTTCCCCCGGTTTTCGAGATCCCCTCTCCCAGGACTCAGCCCAGAGCAGAAGATTTGCTTGGAACGTGTCTACCACAGTAAGTTCCAAACAGAGAGATATATCCAAAATTCATCTATCACACAGAGGGAAATCCAACGAACTAAAAAAAGATAGGAATTATCCCGGGAATAGAAAAGTTGGCTCAGCAACTACCCCTCCTTTCATTCAGGAAAGCAGAACAACATCATTTCCCAGCCCAGATCCAGGGTGTCACCAGGAAGTAAGAATAAGTGGTGAAGATAGTTCAGGCATTATTAGAAATCACCCCTGGAGCTCTGAACCTGCTGATAACCAAAATGCACAGTTTCCAGAAGAGCCTGCTGTTTTAGATGCTGAGAAAGAACAACGCAGCACAACTCATTCTACGAACTGTAGCCAATCAGCGGCCGGCCACAAGATCCGAGGTGACGCTTTAGATCTGTCCTCAGCTATCCTACCTGATATGTCACCATCGAATAATTCTTTCCTCCAGGCTCTGGTGATTCCTTCTACAACAGCGTTCTCCAGGAGAAGTCCTTCAGGCAAAGATCCATCTCTGGGAGAAGTAGAACAAAAAAACAATGATAGTAAACCCCAAAATGATCAGTTTTCCCCAAGCTCCTCAGAAAACCAAAGGAGTCATGATAATTTTGTGCTCGTACATGATGAGGTAGTTGACGCTGTCAAATGTCATTCCCGCCCTCCTTGCAGGGAGGGAAAAGGAAAAGGAAAAATAAGACGATGCATATCCTGTTTTGAAAAGTTAAGCAAAACGGAAAGCAGATCAGCATCAAGTGATAAAAGTAACCACAGGGAAATGAATCAAGGCAGTTCCAAGCATCCTGAGGGTCACACAACTTACTGTATCTCGCCAAGAAAATCAGCCAGTTTCTTCATCAGTAACAGGAAGCTGGAAAGTAAGGTAATGCGTTCTTCCTTTAGGAATGACCCACTTCCATTCCAAATCAAGAATAAGGTGGAAGACCCAGTAGGGAAGTACACATCAAACAAATTCAGTTCCAGTTCTTCGGAGTCAGAAAGCAAATGTTCCAAAGCTGTTTCAGACTCGGTCTCAGTAGCGTCTGAAGCCACAAAGAGGATAACACATACGAAAAATATTAGACCTGCTTCTGTTAGAAAAGGACCACTTCCATTCCTCATCAAGAGGGCTGTGTCGTGTCCTTCGGGGGCACCAGATGCCTCTAATGGGAGAGATGAAAGAGAAGAATCCTTGGCCTCAAACACAGGTGCTTGTGCTCTAACACTAAAACCTTGGGAGACCATCATTAGCCCTCCAGAAAGTAACTCGCCTGTTAGCGATTGTTCTTTACCCAAAAGACACCCTCAAAAGGAATACTTTCAAGAACATACTGAAAAGGATGGCAAAATTGCTTCCTCCAAGACAGGTCTCTTTTCAAATGAAGACCCTTTGCCTTTTTCTTCAGACATGTCAAGAAAAGAAAGTGGGAAAACATTACACAAATTTAAGACCACTAGTATGTTTTCTGTTTCTGGTGATGAAGATAATGTAAAATGTCTTGAGGTGGTTTCGATATATTACACTCTGCCAAGGAAATACAGCAAGAAATTCTGCAACATTCTTGAAAAGTATACACAGCAAATTGATTCACATCCAGAATCAATGAAAGTGGAGACTGAAGCATTTCCTAATGCTTTTGAAAAGGACAAACTAAATGATTCTCCACAAGAGCAATCAGGAACACCTTCATCTGAAGGTCAAAAGATGCTGGTCAGCTCTGCCCAGGAGAAGAGCCATTTTCTCTCTCACACCACTGAAGATATGACTGCTTTACCAGACCTTGGACCCTCAGAGCTCACATTACAGGAAATGGCTTCTACGGAGACAGATGTTTCTCTTCATAAAGGACCATCGAAAACTAGAGAGATTTCCCCAGATAACTTCACTAAAACACCTGCTGGTGATTCACAGAGCAGAAAGGAGGGAGGGAAGAAGTGGCCAAGTGAAACCCTGCGCCCTTCATCAATGCTTCAGGGAAAAAAAGTTACAGAAGAGAACTCGGAAGACTGTCAGCAGCCCATTAAGTTGGGTAACTGTGGCCCTTCTCATCTTCCAGCCCGCTCAGAAGAGACGGTTGGAAATTCCCCAACCGGAAGTTCTGAGGAGTGTGCAGGTAAGGCTGTGGTGATTACAGCTGCTGGAACTGCGGAACGCCCTCAGAAAGATACCACAGGCGAAGCCACGGCTGGGAGGGCCCATGGATCGCAGCCTAGGCAAGTAAGAGGGGAAACGGGAACACATGTCCAAAATGAGACTAATGAAGGACTTTCTGACTCAGAAAGCCAGGTCTTTGCTCTTACTCCAGCTTTGCAAAATCTACACCTTGATGAAGGGACTTGTCCAGGTGAAGCAGATGTAGACAGTTTGCAGTCTAAACCCAGAGACCGACCTCAAAGGAGTCAGGAGGTAAGTATGACAGAGAACGGCAAAGCTGAAGACGAAATACGGAAGTTGGCATGGGATCAACCATCCCTTCCTGAAGGAAGCAATAAAAATAAAACCAGCTTGGATGACCCAGAAAAAGGGAAGAACAGATCTTTAGTTAAACACAGATGGGCAGCCATGTCCAAAGCCAGCAGAAAATTCTCAGCTAAAGATTTAAGCCCCAGAAGACATGTGGCTACTATCTTCCCCCAAAGTGGGAAGAGTTGTAGCTTGGACAGTCTGTCTCTTGGAACACCAGAGTGCGACGCTCTGTCCCCTGAGCCTGCTCCAAAGCCCGTAGAATCCAGACATGAACGCAGGTTGAGTAGCGATGTGATGGGTGTGGAGAAATCCGAGAACTCTCTCAAGGTGACTGTAATATCCAACAGAGAAGCTTCTACCCATTTAAGCAATCAGAAGTCTAACGGCATGTCACAACTACGTCAGAGTGAGTCTAAAAATGTCTCAGACTCATCACCCAAGTATGAGAAGTCTAAAGATGTAGCGGCAGCTCAGACCTTGGAAAGAGAGTCAGGGGCCTTGACCCAACCGACGTTCCCCAGCCTCGGGGAAGCAGACTTCTCTGACCATCAGAAAGGACTGAACCCTCCTTTTCCATTGGAGCCTGAAGAGAAATCCAGAGGGAGCCTCCCGTTGTCCACTTATCGGCAGGAACAAAGTACTTCATCTCTGGAGTGGGAACCTGAACCGCACCACTGTCACTCAAACAGTTTAAAAAGCATCAGTGTGCATGGTAATCTGGTACGCAAAAGTCATCCTCCAAAAGTCAGGGAACGCCATTTGTCTGAGAGCACGTCTCTTGTCAATGCCCTGAGTCAGCTGACCCTAGGGAATGATTTCTCTAGCAACGGTGGGTACAGTCGAAGATTCAGATCCTTTTCTGAGCTTTCCTCCTGTGACGCAAATGAAAATCCAGCTTTGTGTAGTGGCAGGACAAAAATGGGTCCCCGGTCTGCCACGTCTATATCCAGACCCATTGACTACGGAATTTTTGGGAAAGAACAGCAGTTGGCCTTCTTGGAGAATGTAAAGAGGTCACTCACACAAGGAAGATTATGGAAGCCAAGCTTTCTCAAGAACCCTGGCTTCCTGAAAGATGACGTGATTAGTGCTCCTAATCCAACAGAGCCATCCGGCTCAAATTCTCCCCTGGGCCAGATGCCAGAAGATGCCTTATCTCCAAGCACACCGCTTAATATCTATGAAGAGAATCCACTGGACTCAGATTGTGACACAGACACAACCACAGATGATGAATATTATCTGGACGAAAATGACAAAGAGTCAGAACTGTGAGCCTTCTTCAATAAAATGCCCAACCTTTCCACCAAAAGCTTGTATGGAAATGAAGTGTAAATGTGTATGCCCTTGAGAAGGACAGTATAAAAAAGATCTGGTCTGAGCAGCACCTGCTCTGAAACAACCCGAATTCTCTAACCTCTCTTCTCTACACTATATATATAAATGCTTTCTAAATTCTAGAGGAAATGAATTTTTATTTGGGGGGCTTCTCTGCTGTTTTCTCCCTCTGTATATGTTCTTGGCCTTTCTCCCCACTGTCCAGTTTTGGCTTTCTGCTTTACTTTCTCCCTAATTTTTTACACCTTTCATTGTGATACACAGCCCTCATACCCCAGGCACATGCAAAACTAATAACTTCAGTAAGTTAGTAGTTAGAAAATTCTATATTTCCCCTTCCATTGCACACCCTATATCTAGGACATTAAATAGATGTCTTGATGATGGCCATGGAGTCAATGGTATCATCCTGTTTGACCTGGCATTTAGGAGGTTTAGGGTTGTTGTTTTTTTTTTTTTCCTTTTACACAAAAATAAGGAAATTTTCACAAAGGCATCCTATTAGATCCATAGTGAAGCCAGGGAGACAGATGTTTGATGTATTTATTGAGGTTATAAATGAGGAGCTGAATCCCTATTAAGCCCAAAATATTAGTACTCCAAGGAATACCTTTGAAGACATTTGTAGGGACCGGCTGATTTGTTAAGGGCTGAATTTTAATCTATCAAGGACTCAGGCCGGCAGTACGATGGTGCAGAGGCGGCTTGGCCACACAATTCCTGCTCAGGAAGGGAGCATGACTGTGGATGCAGGTAAGTGGACATCCTTTGTGGGACTGCCATCCTCCCTGCAGCTCTCCCCCCAGCTGGTTTTCCCCATTTCTCTAGGACTCCCCATTTCTCGATTTTCTTTATTTGCAGGATAGGATGTTTGATTTCATGTGCACATTTTAGTCACAAATATCAAGCGGTAGCTTTGGCCAGGCCCCTACAATGCTGCTGAGTCAGGTCAGAAACACTGGGATTCACTGGCTTCTTTGCAGGACCATTTACCAGACCCCCTGGAAATTAAAGGCAGAGCAAACCCCTGAGAAACTATAAGGCACAGCTTCTAAGTGCTTGTCACTATGACTCTTTCAATAATGTATCTAGACTACATTAGATACATTCTATCTAATACATACATTCTATCCTTCTTCATACCCCCTGATACCTTGGTTTTCTAACTCTAACTGCCAAGGAGACCTTCTGGAATTTCCCCTCCTAATAGGATAAACACCAACAGATGTTGGAACTCGAACTATAGAAAGCCTGCCCTCCAGGATCTTAGTGCTGTGAGGGTCCACATGAGTGGATTTCCTTCAGATTGCTTCATAGTTGCTTCCTGACCCAATTCTGTTCTCCATTTTTCTCACCTAGTCTGTATCATCCATATAAATTAAGGATAATGATAGTGTTGGTGAAGCATATAGAGATCTGGAACTGATAGAAATGCAAGAAAGAGCTATATTATTATTATCCTCCTACCCATTGCGTTGCCTGGAAGCAAAATACCAGGGCTACTTTACATCATTCCCATGAAACCCAAAACTAATAAACATGTGGTAACTGACATGAAAGCTATTCCTTAAATCTGTAAATTGTTTTAAAGTCCAGGCTCTGACCAATATCAAGCTCAAAGAGACTGATAATAGAGTTTTAAATCAACTGTGCTGAATATTTCCCCTTAAAAAGAAGAAATAACATTTTATTCCTTTCTTATTTGTGTGTAAATTCTGCCTTTCCCCTTCCCCTTCTATTTATCTGACTATTTAAGTACAAGTTTCATACACCGTGGCTTACGTTTTCCCATCTAATTTTAAAATATTCAGAGTTCACATTTTAATGTTAAGTGTCGCGATTTTTGAAAAATGGTCCGCTTGCAAGTTCTATTTCAGTAACTACTCTGAGTTTACATGTATGTTACAGGAGGTGAAATGAAGTTAGCTTATATTTCACTGAGTTTAGGCTGTAACAAGTTAGTTAAATTAAGGTGAGGATAAGCAGTTACTCTGAGGCCCTTCTGCTCTGCACTGGAGTCTCCTATTTGAACTCAAAGGTAATTGATGGCTGATGCTCATTTGCACTGTTTGTAATGTTTGCTTGTTGCTCTGGCTCAAGAATCAAAGAAACAGAAAATTCATAAAAAGAGCACCTCCTAGGGCTACCTGAGTATCTCAGTGAGTTGAGCATCCAACTCTTGATTTCAACTCAGGTCATGATCTCAGGGTTGTGAGATCGAGCCCCACATCAAGCTCTGCACTGAGCAGGGAGATTCTCTCTCTCCCTGAGCCCCTCCCCCTGCTCACTCACTCTCTCAAATGAATAAGTAAATCTTTAAAAAAAAAAACAAAACCCAGCACCTTCTATAGTTTTATACTGTTATAAAATGCTTCGTTAAAGAAGTACAGCAAATTTCTATGTATTTTAACATATGAATTGCTGCTTTTTAATACTCATTTTTGGTACTGCTATAGTAATTTATAATAGTCATTTTTATACCCCTTACTTGTGTTCTAATCATTATTAAAATAAATATTCACATAAATGGAGTAAATCATGAGGAAATCCTTTCTAATAAGTATCTTTAAATTATTAACTTGTTTAGATAATGGACTTCAATTTCACAGTGTACAGTTTATTTAAAATAGGGTGTGGGTGCCTGGGTGGCTCAGTCGGTTAGGAGACCGACTTTTGATCTCAGCTCAGGTCATGATCTCAGGGTCAAGAGTTCTAAGCCCGTATTGGGCTCCACACTGGGCGTGGGGCCTACGTAAAAAAGCGGGGGTGGCTTAATGAGGTTATTTTAATTTTTAGAGACCTCCTTCTGAATAATTTACCCCCTTACATTTATAAATACATGGCTGTTAATAAAACTTCCAGCTGCTACTGACAAGGTTTTGACTGACAAAAAGTGAATAAAAACCATTTTGTGTAGAAGGTAAATGTATGTCTGTACTAGAAATAGTGATAGAAAACCCACTTAGGTTATGGTGAAGATGGGAATAAAATTGAAAAACTCCCACCTGTATAAAAGCACTATACTCTGTGGAATGCCAGAGGATTAAGGCCTTAACTGGTAAGATTTTATTGTTAACAGTAGTGATAACGCTTTAGAATATCCCGTTTAAATGTACAAAGTGATTATGTAAATATTCTACTTTCCCAGCAAGTTTGTGAATGTATTACCACTTAGAGGCTCTTTCTGACTGGCACACCTGTGTTTCTGAAACAGGTAAGCCTTAAGCACTTTTGTTAAAATGTGGTCAAATAATCCTTTTATGTACTTTTCTCAATCCTGTTCTGTAGATATGAGGAGTGTTACAAGATAAGGTGCAAATTTAAAACAATGCCAATGTTGAAATAAATGATTCAAATAGAAGCACGTTTGACTTGTTTTTTATTCCCACCCTCAAATGATTACTTTTAAATGTGAAAGTTTCAGGAAGAATTCTAAAAAGGTGTGGCAGAGAGGGGGACCAAAAACATTCATTCAAATCTCTCTGGTTGTTCTTGAACGAGATCAGCCATATGTAGTTTCAAAAAAACACAGGGACTTGCTTCTCTCTTCTTTCATTTGTATCCAAAAGCAATCGACTGACCCGTGAAGATCAGTCTATCTGGTTGCATGACAGAGGAGGAAAGAAGGTCTGGCATTTCTCTGTGAGAGGAAGAAAGTGCTACATGGAGTGCTACCCACTGCCCAGTAGCACTGGTAAAAGATAAACTGTTCTTTCCAGTTGAAATATAAGACATGCAATATTAAGTAATGGATCTGTACCAATCTTACATCTTTTCTAGAAAAGCAACCCAAAGGCTGTGTCCCTACCAAGGACAGGAGAGTGTTGTCATCTTGAATATGTACAGTATTGTATTAAAATGGAAAATACATTGCATGAGCCAGGATTTTGAGTCGTAGACTAAAATCCTCTCTAGGGGACTTGGGTCAAAAAAAGGACTCATTAAAGCATGTCCAGTTTGCTCACAAACGCATTGACAGGGCTGACAAAATAGATACTAAGTTGAAATTCCAGCAGCAATTTCTCAGATGATGCCAGGGAGTTGGACTTGTCGTGGGAGCCGCAGTCTCTGTAATGACCAGGAAGGCGGCAATTCAGGAGAGAACCAATACACAGAATCACTGTATTCGTCTTCCCCAGAAATCACGCCAGCGGAAATAAGAGCCCTGGTGTAATACAGACTTACAGGTAAGAATTTTATTGCTACAGTGGTGGCAAAAACTGAAAACAAAGTGAAAATTTGATAAGAAAGGACTGGATAGGGGCGCCTGGGTGGCTCAGTGGGTTAAAGCCTCTGCCTTCGGCTCAGGTCATGATCTCGGGGGTCCTGGGACTGAGCCCCGCATCGGGCTCTCTGCTCGGCGGCGAGCCTGCTTCCCCCTCTCTCTCCGCCTGCCTCTCTGCCTACTTGTGATCTCTATCTGATAAACAAATAAAATCTTTAAAAAAAAAAAAAAGGACTGGATATATGATGGAACACCCACGTATGTGATATTATGCAACCGCTGAAAAGCATAAAGTAGAAACATGTAAGTTGACTTAGGAGAATTTGCATGAGGTACTACTGAGTAAAAACAAACAAACCTGCATACGCATGTGTACATCTAGAAGGATACATACGAGGCTGCTATGTCCGTTGCTACATGTGCCCAGTTGGGGTAAGCGGTATGTTCAACCCGGGAGGGAGAGAGAAGCAAACTTATATTGGGAGAAGCAGTCTGCTGTGGGTCTTGAACACTTTTGCTGGGCATGCCAAGAATGTAAGTCCTTGACCATGGTTTACACATGCCATTTCTTTCCCTTTTTAAAAAAATTTTTTTTAAAGATTTTATCTATTTATTTGACAGAGAGAGATCACAAATAGGCAGAGAGGCAGGCAGAGAGAAAGGGGGGAAGCAGGCTCCCTGCTAAGGAGACAGCCTGATGCAGGGCTCGATC